CGCGGTAAGGCTGACGGCACCATGCGGCTCAGCAGGTGCGCACGGCTCATCCGGGGTGCAAGGGTCATCAGGATCGCACGTGTGCTGCGCTCCGGCAGCTGCGGCAATGACGGTGTTGTAGGCAGTGCGGCCGATGTTGCTGTGGGAGTGTTGCTTCAGCGCCTCTATAGAGGCGACCAGTGCGCGAGTGTTCTCCGCATCGACAGCAGCCTTCGTCGCCGCTGCCTCTCCAAGTTCTCCGACACGCAGCAACTCCCTCAGCTCCTCCTTCAACACATCATCCTCTAACACGCTCTGCTTCACCCCGTCGCGGTGCCCGTCGATAGCCTGGGTTTGATTACGATATAATTTAAAGCAGTTTTGACGAGAGGGGGGGGAAATGTGAGGATGGGACTCAATACTTTCGCGGGAAGATGGAGAGCACCCGGGGGGGAATGTACCGGAAATACAGCAGTAGTCTAAAATAGCCTACAGCAGGGAAATTCAAACACTTGAAAAAAACGCAAGATACCACCCTATCTCTTGCCGTACGCCGCTCTGAACTCACCGTTTGCCGTTGTCGTGGAGGAGTCGTTGTGGGTTGTGGGCTTCTCCTCGGTCCGCTGAAAAGATGCGCCTCAAGCGGATCCGAGCGAGCGAGACGTGCATCGGCTCCTAACCTTGGACCTCGTTCGGCAGCAGCAGCAGCCACCGCAGCAGCGGCAGCAGATCTGGTGGCGGCTCCTTCCGGTTTCTTCTTGCGACGTTTAGTAGCCCGTTCTTGGAGGTCATCAACATGCTCTCGGGCCATACGTGCAACGCCCTCGAGGTTATCCACCACAGAGCCTATTGCCTTGGTAGCCGCAGTCTCAGTGCCCTTCTTCAGCAGCGTGGAGGTCAGGTGATAGCCCCTGGGGTGCGTGCGCCATCTGTGCCTGATGACCCTCGCTTCTCCCGCAATTTTGACATCGCGCCTCAGCATGGTGGCAGCAGCCGCCACCGTCCAGGAGACGGAAAGGGAAAGAGCAGTATCTCGTCGAGGTGGGGTCGGGAGACCCTGCAGTGAGTTCCTTTGTGGGTAATTCGACCAAGCGGAGTCGATTGGCGAGGTGCACGCTTGGCTCCGAGTTGATCTTCCCTGTGAAATGGATCCCGCCGCATTTATTTTCGTCCAAAGGTGGCGCGAAACCTTCTTTTTTTTTTTTGTTGATGCCGGAAATGGAATCTTCTGTCGGAAGGCGCCCTAGAACCGGTTATTTTTTTTCCTACCGACGGAAACTCGACGAGATACGGAGTTACACACTCTTGTGAGGAAGGCGCCCTATTTTGTTTGCCTTCCGACAAAGGTTTCGTTTGAAGTTGGCGTCTTGTTTAACGCGTTCTACGATGCGTCTACACTCCATCCCCATATCATTGGCGTTGACTGGTTCGAGGTCGATCTTCGCCTGTTTTCGGCGTCTTGACGCCCGCGCAATGCGAGCTTGTACCTCTGCACTCGCCGAGATATGGCCACCTGTCTGTGTAGCCACCGAAACGATCTGAAGAAGTCGTTCCTTGAAGACTCATTTCAGAGCCATCGTTCCTCCGTCCCTTCCTCCCACGGCATGTGTCGCAAGTTCATCGATGAACTCGTAACCCTCCTCTCCAAGGCGACCAAAGCTTTCCACGGCTTTGTATGCGCGTGGTCGCCGTTTCTTATTTGCTGCGACCAACCTTGGATCTTCTGTTTATCATGTGTAGGAAGTCGAAATTGTTGTGCTGCTTCTTTTCAGTACAGAGTAGTCAGTTCTTATCACTCTCCGTCGAAGTAGCTCAATTTCTCAGGCGCTTTCTGAGCCTCGGTTTCTTACGAGGGTGTTTTTTACGAGTGGGCCGGCACTGCTGTATCCTGGCTCCAGCTGGGCTTGAATTAACCCGTTTGCTGTCCTCCGCTCTTTGCATCAGTGGCTTCCAAGATTCGGGCGAGGGCATGTGTGGAGCTATGGCAGTGTATGTATGTGTTGCTTTTTTGTTTGAGTCATCTAGCTGCTGACACGATGACTGACTGTTGTTGGATCTTGGGAGTGTACGATTATCAAATTGGGAGATGTAGCATAGTCTACCACGATTTATATCCTGGCTTTGGCTGGGCTTGAACTAACCCTTTTGCTGTTCTCCGCTCTTTGCATCATCATCATCAGTGGCTTCCGAGATTCAGGCGAGGGCATGTGTGGAGCTATGGCGGCGGTGTATATGTTGCAATTTCGTTTGAGCCATCTAGCTAGCTGCTGACACGATGACTGTTGCATCTTGGGAGTGCACGATTATCCAATTGGGAGATGTAGCATACCACGACAGACTATCTATATATCCTGGCTTCGGCTGGGCTTGAATTCACAGGGTGTTACTGTCCTCCGCTCTTTCTTTGCATCATTAGTGGCTTCCTAGATTCGGGCGAGGACGGACATGTGTGGAGCTATGGCAGTGTGCGTTTTGCAATTTCGTTTGAGTCATCTAGCTGCTGACACGATGACTGTTGGATCTTGGGAGTGCACGATTATCAAATTGGGAGATGATGCGGCATACCACGATAATAATATCCTGGCTTCGGCTGGGCTTGAACTAATAGTCTAACCCTCCCTTTGCTGTCCTCCGCTCTTTGCATCAGTGGCTTCCTGGGTCCGGGCGAGGGCATGTGTGGAGCTGACATGTTGTTGTTGTTGTTGTTGTTGTTGTTGTTGTTGTTGTTGTTGTTGTTTTTCTCCCATCATTGGACGCTGTCGTCTGGGTCCCTATCCTCCACTTCTACCAGCTAGACGACCCAACCGGGGTCACATNATGCGGCATACCACGATAATAATATCCTGGCTTCGGCTGGGCTTGAACTAATAGTCTAACCCTTCTTTTGCTGTCCTCCGCTCTTTGCATCAGTGGCTTCCTGGGTCCGGGCGAGGGCATGTGTGGAGCTGACATGTTGTTGTTGTTGTTGTTGTTGTTGTTGTTGTTGTTGTTGTTGTTGTTTTTCTCCCATCATTGGACGCTGTCGTCTGGGTCCCTATCCTCCACTTCTACCAGCTAGACGACCCAACCGGGGTCACATGGGAGGGGGGTGTTGGACCCTTATTTCCTGCGGTTCCTGCCTGAGATGTTTTATCGCGAGAAGGGTTCCCTTCCCTCGCGACTTATGAAGTCGATCAAGTTTACTAACGACGAGCTTTGCAGCGCGTCGCTTCCAACGGAGACCAGGATTTAATTCGCGAGAAAAACTCACTCTGTCGGGACTCGAACCCATGACCTGTGAACGGTAAACTACGCGGGTGCAGCAAGCACGTTCTGGACGTTACTTTGGGGCACTGGGTAGTCGGCCGTGTTGGGCCGAGAGAGAGAGGGTGAGAGAGAGTTGGAGAGAGAGTGGGAAAAGGAAACTTGATTGGAGAGAGACGGTGTTGGTGGTGGAGAGAGAGGGAAGAAGAAGAAGAAGAGGAAGTACGTGCGCAGGACGCACGCAAGCCTCATGCATCATCGCACCGACCACACCCAACGGGTCCCCGTGACTGTGCCGGTGGTACCCTTCAACACACGAAATCCCCCTGGGATCCTCACGACCAGATACTGCTGCGAGTATATCGAACAACCTGGCCCTTACTTAGCAGGCCTACCCACTAGACCACCGGGGCGACCGGGTATGTGTGTCTACGTGAAAGTATATGTAGAGGGAGTCAGTCAGTCGTATTGGCATTCGCATTCAGCGCATTATTGCGCATTTATATTTTGGCAGTTGTCTTCTTCCCCTCGCTCCTCGACAAGCTTTTGCTTAGACATGGGTTGTAGCGAAGGGGGGGGTCTTTCTGGCGAGCAGGGCTAGACTCACCCTCAAGGGATGACCGAAACCTTCTTGCTGCTGCGCATCCGCCGCGAGGCGTGCGTGTGGTGGTGGAGTTGGGTCGGCACTGATGGGGTCAGGCGGGAAAATGTAGATGCGCGGGCCTTTCTGGCCGTCGGCGTTGGCAGTGATGCCCATCTCATTTTTGTGCGCGGAGGCAGACATCATCAGAAAGGTGGACGGGCACTACACGGCCCTAGGTTTGCTAGAGGGAGCTGTATTGCCTCAGTAACCTNCTTGCTTTCCGTCTTGGTTTTGTGTGATGCCATCGTCGCTGCGCTCTCTCCCTTGTTCCCCTCGCTCCTCGACAAGCTTTTGCTTAGACATGGGTTGTAGTGAAGGGGGGGGTCTTTCTGGCGAGCAGGGCTAGACTCACCCTCAAGGGATGACCGAAACCTTCTTGCTGCTGCGCATATCCGCCGCGAGGCATGCGCGTGGTGGTGTAGTTGGGTCGGCACTGATGGGGTCAGGCGAAAAAATGTAGATGCGCGGGCCTCTGGCCGTCGGCGTAGGCAGCGATGCCCATCTCATTTTTTGTGCGCGGAGGCAGACACCGTCAGAAGGTGGACGGGCACTATGTACACGGCCCTAGGTTGGCTAGAGGGAGCTGCATTGCCTCAGTAACCTGGCTTCGCCATCAAAGGAGGAGGGAGCAGGTGGCGACGAGCTGAACTGGGCTGGTTGACCCCTTCGGCGCGAGAATTTTTATTTTTCAGACCAAGAACCTTGAGTGCAAGGAGGGAGAACGCGAGGAACGGACTGGGAAGGACAGCAACGAGAGCGTGTACGGACGGAGCAGGTCGAGTGGCGTTATGCTCGGGCTGACTACAGCGGCGCCGGACGGAGCAGCGGCACCGGAGCATGCGGGCGACATCGACCCGTGGCGCACGGACAAACATTTATATCTGATCTGTGTTGTCAATTTTTCTCGTTTTTTTCCTGATTTTCGGTGTTGGTTCTATGTGATGACGTCGTCACTGGTTTTGTAGAGAGACCCGTCAGAGATGGCGTGGCTAACCCGGGTGCATTGGTTATGTGCCTGATCGTGGAAGACCCCTTCAATGTGGAACGATTCTTAGCTAGTGTCGATATTTTTCACTGCAGTGCCTAACACAGACGATCGGGAGAGATTCGGGTGATTGTCAATTGCTGCTATGATGGCTTTGGTTGGTTGTTCTTTTTCACTGTACGGCCGCAGACACATTCTGACAGCACTTCAGACAGCAGCTTTGTGCCCCGCCAGCTGCTTGTTCCATGCCTACCATGGTGTTTTTGTACAGACAGCACTTCAGACAGCATTATGCTGTAGTCGGCAATCTTCCGTTTTGGTATAGAGTGGGACAGGGAGGGGGTGATGCTACTGTAGTCGAACGGTGGGACGGACGTGCAGTTCAGTTTTTGGGCACGCATACGGTGCTGCAGGGATTTTTAGGTGTACCTCTTCGGGCTCTTGCATACCTATTTCTCGTCAGATGTATGCGTGTTCTTTAGATCCTCAGATGGCTCTAGCACTTTCGTGACCACGGGCTGAGAGTCTTTTGCTAGATTTTGGCATTTAGCAACTGACATACGGTTAAATGTGAAGACAAACAACAAACAAACAACTTATCATTGATGGTATGCTGCCGGTCGCCCCGGTGGTCTACTTGGTATCCTCGAAACCTTCTAGAGGTCAGGTCAGGGGTTCGACTCCCGGCGTAAGCGAGCTTCTCTTGCAAAGTGAGTTTCTCTCTCGCTTCCGCTCCTGGCCTAGTGGATAGCACTAGTTCGTGTGTACACAGACGGAAGAGAGTGCTGAACAACTCTTCTCGCATTAAAAATCGAAGGCAAAGTACCGCAGGAGGGGAGGGTAGAGAGGGGCTCTTCTGTGTGACCATGGGTTCGAGTATACGGCACTAACTAGTTAGTGCCGTGAGCGCTGATTTGAAGTGAAGACGAAAAAAAAAAGAAAAACAAATGCACGAGCCTGAAAAAAAGAGAAAACTGAGGAAGACCGCCAGGTCACCACGCACGCCACGGACAGGAGCAGCAGCAGCAGCGGTGCGGTTGATAGACACATCCGCGTGTTTGCAGTCGGGGGAGGCGTCGCAACAGCCTTTGTTCGAAATTGTAGGAAAAGAGTGACGAGAGACCTTGCACTCGCCGAATGGACGGATTGGTGAGGGCACGGACGGATTGATAGTCTGTTACCCCTGAGTTTGTAACAGCAGCGACAACAGGAGTCATCACAAATACATATACGTGGTATGTGTACTTACCGCTGCAAGCGGGAATGAATGATGTCGACAACGGGAGAATCGCACGCAGATAAACGAAAAGCGAATGTAAAAGCAGGAAGAAGCAGAAAATTAATGATGACCGGAAACTGCACCAAGAACACCACTAATCTATCCACTCTACATGCACCATCTGTCCATCTGTGGAAGAGATGAATTCGTTGTGTATTTGCACGAGAAAAAAAAATACCACCTGGTTGAAGGAGCAGGACGGGGCGAGCCATGGATATTTCGCGATGCGTTCCCTTGCACGTCGGCGAAACATGACGTCATTCGGAATGCCCCAGCATTCACAGATACCACCCTTCCTTGTCCTTCGGGTCACATGTCCTGGGCAATGACCTCCAAGGATAAGATGTGATTATTGTACATTGTGTTTCTGATAATAATGTACTATTATACTTACTCCAACAGAGGGGAAAATTGCACACCCTGGACAACTATCAACTATCAACTAACTAGTTAGTTGGTTTGGTCGGCAACTACTGCTAGTTGCCTCCAGACAACTAGTTGCCCAACATTTTGACCCGAGAGTTGTTTACAGACAACTAGTTGCCCAACATTTTGAACCGAGAGTTGTTTGCAGGCAACTAGTTGCCTAACATATTGACCCGAGAGTTGTTTGCAGGCAACTAGTTGCCCAACATTTTGACCCGAGAGTTGTTTGCAGGCAACTAGTTGCCTAACATTTTGACCCGAGAGTTGTTTGCAGGCAACTAGTTGCCCAACATTTTGACCCGAGAGTTGTTTGCAGGCAACTAGTTGCCCAACATTTTGACCCGAGAGTTGTTTGCAGGCAACTAGTTGCCCAACATTTTGACCCGAGAGTTGTTTGCAGGCAACTAGTTGCCCAACATTTTGACCCGAGAGTTGTTTGCAGGCAACTAGTTGCCCAACATTTTGACCCGAGAGTTGTTTGCAGGCAACTAGTTGCCCAACATTTTGACCCGAGAGTTGTTTGCAGGCAACTAGTTGCCCAACATTTTGACCCGAGAGTTGTTTGCAGGCAACTAGTTGCCCAACATTTTGACCCGAGAGTTGTTTGCAGGCAACTAGTTGCCCAACATTTTGACCCGAGAGTTGTTTGCAGGCAACTAGTTGCCCAACATTTTGACCCGAGAGTTGTTTGCAGGCAACTAGTTGCCCAACATTTTGACCCGAGAGTTGTTTGCAGGCAACTAGTTGCCCAACATTTTGACCCGAGAGTTGTTTGCAGGCAACTAGTTGCCCAACATTTTGACCCGAGAGTTGTTTGCAGGCAACTAGTTGCCCAACATTTTGACCCGAGAGTTGTTTGCAGGCAACTAGTTGCCCAACATTTTGACCCGAGAGTTGTTTGCAGGCAACTAGTTGCCCAACATTTTGACCCGAGAGTTGTTTGCAGGCAACTAGTTGCCCAACATTTTGACCCGAGAGTTGTTTGCAGGCAACTAGTTGCCCAACATTTTGACCCGAGAGTTGTTTGCAGGCAACTAGTTGCCCAACATTTTGACCCGAGAGTTGTTTGCAGGCAACTAGTTGCCCAACATTTTGACCCGAGAGTTGTTTGCAGGCAACTAGTTGCCCAACATTTTGACCCGAGAGTTGTTTGCAGGCAACTAGTTGCCCAACATTTTGACCCGAGAGTTGTTTGCAGGCAACTAGTTGCCCAACATTTTGACCCGAGAGTTGTTTGCAGGCAACTAGTTGCCCAACATTTTGACCCGAGAGTTGTTTGCAGGCAACTAGTTGCCCAACATTTTGACCCGAGAGTTGTTTGCAGGCAACTAGTTGCCCAACATTTTGACCCGAGAGTTGTTTGCAGGCAACTAGTTGCCCAACATTTTGACCCGAGAGTTGTTTGCAGGCAACTAGTTGCCCAACATTTTGACCCGAGAGTTGTTTGCAGGCAACTAGTTGCCCAACATTTTGACCCGAGAGTTGTTTGCAGGCAACTAGTTGCCCAACATTTTGACCCGAGAGTTGTTTGCAGGCAACTAGTTGCCCAACATTTTGACCCGAGAGTTGTTTGCAGGCAACTAGTTGCCCAACATTTTGACCCGAGAGTTGTTTGCAGGCAACTAGTTGCCCAACATTTTGACCCGAGAGTTGTTTGCAGGCAACTAGTTGCCCAACATTTTGACCCGAGAGTTGTTTGCAGGCAACTAGTTGCCCAACATTTTGACCCGAGAGTTGTTTGCAGGCAACTAGTTGCCCAACATTTTGACCCGAGAGTTGTTTGCAGGCAACTAGTTGCCCAACATTTTGACCCGAGAGTTGTTTGCAGGCAACTAGTTGCCCAACATTTTGACCCGAGAGTTGTTTGCAGGCAACTAGTTGCCCAACATTTTGACCCGAGAGTTGTTTGCAGGCAACTAGTTGCCCAACATTTTGACCCGAGAGTTGTTTGCAGGCAACTAGTTGCCCAACATTTTGACCCGAGAGTTGTTTGCAGGCAACTAGTTGCCCAACATTTTGAACCGAGAGTTGTTTGCAGGCAACTAGTTGCCCAACATTTTGACCCGAGAGTTGTTTGCAGGCAACTAGTTGCCCAACATTTTGACCCGAGAGTTGTTTGCAGGCAACTAGTTGCCCAACATTTTGACCCGAGAGTTGTTTGCAGGCAACTAGTTGCCCAACATTTTGACCCGAGAGTTGTTTGCAGGCAACTAGTTGCCCAACATTTTGACCCGAGAGTTGTTTGCAGGCAACTAGTTGCCCAACATTTTGACCCGAGAGTTGTTTGCAGGCAACTAGTTGCCCAACATTTTGACCCGAGAGTTGTTTGCAGGCAACTAGTTGCCCAACATTTTGACCCGAGAGTTGTTTGCAGGCAACTAGTTGCCCAACATTTTGACCCGAGAGTTGTTTGCAGGCAACTAGTTGCCCAACATTTTGACCCGAGAGTTGTTTGCAGGCAACTAGTTGCCCAACATTTTGACCCGAGAGTTGTTTGCAGGCAACTAGTTGCCCAACATTTTGACCCGAGAGTTGTTTGCAGGCAACTAGTTGCCCAACATTTTGACCCGAGAGTTGTTTGCAGGCAACTAGTTGCCCAACATTTTGACCCGAGAGTTGTTTGCAGGCAACTAGTTGCCCAACATTTTGACCCGAGAGTTGTTTGCAGGCAACTAGTTGCCCAACATTTTGACCCGAGAGTTGTTTGCAGGCAACTAGTTGCCCAACATTTTGACCCGAGAGTTGTTTGCAGGCAACTAGTTGCCCAACATTTTGACCCGAGAGTTGTTTGCAGGCAACTAGTTGCCCAACATTTTGACCCGAGAGTTGTTTGCAGGCAACTAGTTGCCTAACATTTTCACCCGAGAGTTGTTTACAGACAACTAGTTGCGCAACATTTTGAACCGAGAGTTGTCTGTCAAACAACTACCAACTATTGTAGTTGTCCAGGGTGTGGAAAATTGACAGAAAACTACCGTGCGAGCTCTGAACTGTTGTATGTAGCACCAACAACCCAGACGACCACGACCACCACGACAAAAAAAAAAAAAAATCCTTGAAGTATGAGCCGGACGACAGAGAAGGCAGCAACAAACAACAAGGCACAACATATAGTCTAGAGATATATTCCTTCCTCACTACACAAACATGAAACCCGGTGCTCTTCCCTGCTGCAATCAACCGCGCAGCAGTTGACGCGCGCTAGCCCACACACACATCGGATAGGTCGTTCGTCCTGCCTCCAAGTCCATCGGCGTCTCCACCGCTAAAGAACACCTTCATCGTTAACAACACAAAGAAACCTTACGGGCCCACCATTAAGTGTTCGGCCTAAGCCTGACTGAGCGCGTGTTCCGTCAATAACGGTTGAGGGTCGCTCAACTTGAACACCTCAATGACGATTGCATCACAAGCAACGTCAACATCAGCGACATCAACGTCAGAGGCACCAGCACCGCCGCTCGTCTGCTCGCCGTGCACGCAGAAACACACGCACACGTACATGACACCCCCTAACGGGCACGGGTCCCCTTTCATGGCATTTTGAAGTGTTTCGTGTTTTCAACCGCACCGAGACTAACGGCTTTTCATTGGTCAGCCGGTTAGCGCGGTCGATGCGACACAACCAGAACACTTTTTTAAAGAAAACCAGAAATCGTGTTGTTCACGGTTGTTTCTTCTATCAGCCCGCTGTAAGCTGAAGCTTTGTAGCTAGCGCCATGTTAGACACAAAGACTTAACACACACCGAATCAGGGCAATCCAAGCTCTCAGTCAAGCTGGAAAACGAAACTGTGGGTCTCGAGCAACACCAGGCACACACGTGCGTGCAGCGGCGGCAGTGAAAAGCCGCAGCAAACCAATGTTCTGCCCGCGGCTAACCCGGCTCCATTCGGTGCTCGCAGCAGACCGACACACGCTAACCTTCCTAAAAACGAAGTAGGGAAGATTGCAACATCTTTTTTACACTAAACGACGAGGTCTTGCATTTGTCTGTTTGGGTGGGTGGGCAGGGGAAGGTTGGGGTGCATGCAGCAGCAGCAGATGCAGCAGTGCGCCTAACGTCATCGCGAGCGCGTCTCCGTGATCTTGTCGGCGATGCGTCGTTCTGTCTTTTCCAGCTGAGAAAACGAACAGAGTGGAACGGACGGACGGACGGACGCAACAAAGACGAAAAAAAGCACAGCGAAGTCAAAACAATGCACCGATTCTATTCCAAACGACTCTTGGACTGCTTGTCACGGGTTGCGTGTGCCTCCAGCATTTCAAATTGCAAACACAAACACTTTCTGAGATCGCGCTTCGTCTTGCAATCTTCTTTCAACGAAAACTGCCCCTCTTCCGAAGATAGTTCCCCCCAACGAGTGCCCGTCACGTACGAAGATGAACCGTTGGCCTCCTTCCTCCACAGGTTGACACATATACCGGTTTCGGCGGTGTGTGCGATAATTAACATTTGACCGCACTAATCGGCGGACCAATGGAAAGTCAACGAGATAAAACACCTTCTTGTCAAAAGGTCATGTTTCTAACGTGTGAGTGTGCGCTTTTCTTTCCTCTGTGTTTTCATAGGTAGCATCGACCGCGCTAACCGGCTGACCAAGTAAAGACATCAGTATCATAGCACAGATAAAAAACGTAACCACTCTTTCTTATCAAATCGAAGGGTTTTACAGACAGAAGGGGGCGCAGGAGTTGGACATTGTCCTGCTTCTGACGTACGAGGACGAGACTCAACAAACAAGCACCAAGTAGCAATGCTGAGGCATTGGCAGTTTCTCCTCCACTGAAGCACAACTGCTCTGTGCTAGGTTACTCTCTAACCGGCACGTGTTGGGGGGGGGGGCGAGCACAGCGGGGCGCCTTCGCGAGAAACCAAAGGTGCCGAGGAAATGGAACAGGGAGGGGTTACGCAGACCCTATCCCCTTAACCCTAACCCTAACCCTAACCCAACATCCCCGGTTGTGAGCCCTATTCAACCTTCAAAAAAAAAAGCGAATGCTGCTGAGTACAGCACTGCACTTACCCCACGGATGGTGTCATTCAAACACTGTCTCCCGACCACCAACAGCCTCGCCACAACGAGCGGGTCCTGTGCGGGAAAGAGAAAAAAGGCGAGCAACAACACAAAAACAACAGCGGCAGCAGCAATGTTGACGACGAAAAGACGTTTGCTTCACACGCGCGCGCGCAAACTCACACCCACACGAGACGACATTGGGTATATGGAGGGGGGGGGGGGGGGG